GCCAGGCATGGTGGCTCATGCCTGTAATCCCAGCACTTTGGGATGCTGAGGCAGGCAGATTGCTTGAGCTCAGGAGTTTGAGACCAGCCTAGACAACATGGTGAAACCTCCTCTCTACAAAAAATACAAAAAAAAAAAAAAATTATTAATAGCTGGGCATAGTGACACATGCCTGTAGTCCCAGGTACTCGGGAGGTTGAGGTGGGAGAATTGCTTGATCCTTTCTTGAAAAGGTAATCCTTTCTCTTTTCTTGAAAATAGGAACTTCTTGACGTAAAGTATATCTAGCATTTGTTCTTTCTTTTTCCATTATAGTCATGATAAAATATGTAATTTAATACCACATATGTATAAGTCAAATCCAGGATTTCTGTGGCAGTATCAAATGCAGCAAATTTTAAATATGGAAAGCAACCCCATGGTAATGATTTACATCATTAAAGTTTCATTTACTTATTCAATAAATATTTATGTAGCATTTCTTATGTTCCAGTATTAGGCTAGGTATTGTTTTTCTTATTTTATTTTTTAACCTTCAAATCACATTTTTTTTTACATTGAGATAAAATTTGCACAACAGGCTAAGTGTGGTGGCTCACACCTGTAATCCCAGCACTTTGGGAGGCCAAGATGGGTGGATTGCTTGAGGTCAGGAGTTTGACACCAGCCTAGCCAACATGGCAAAAAGCACGTCTCTACTAAAAAAAACGTAAAAATTAGCCAGGCATGGTGGTGCATGCCTACAGTCCCTCTACTCAGCAGGGTGAGACAGGAGAATCACTTGAACCAGGGAGGTGGAGGTTGCAGTGGGCCAAGATCCCCCTGCTGCACTCCAGTTTGGGTGATAAAAGTGAGACTCTGTCTCAAAAAAAAAAAAAAAAAAAAAAATTCACACAACATATAATTCACAATTTTAAACATTTCAAAGTTTACAATGGAGTGGAGTTTGTTTTGTTTTTTTCCTAATCCTCAGATGCTGGGATTTTTTTGTTTGTTTGTTTTTGTATAGTCACAATGTTGTGCAACAAGGATTACTTTCTTAATTCCAGAACATTTTTGTTACTCCAAAATGAAACTTTGTTGCTCCAATTTCCTCTACACCTACCCCCTGGAATCTTTATAGATATGCCTATTCTGTATTGTTCATATAAATACAATCATTTAATATGTGGCCTTTTGTGTCTGGCTTCTTTCAATTGGTATAATGTTTTCAAGGTCCATCTGTATTGTAGGTATATTAATACTTCATTGTTTTTATGAGTGATCTCATTATATGTATATATTACATTTTATTTATCCATTCCTTAGTTTATGGGTATTTGGGTTGTTTCTGCTTTTTGAATGTTATAAATAAGGCTGCTATGAACGTTATTGTATAAGATTTTTTGAGAACGTATGTTTTTAGATGGTACAATTTTATATTTGGAAAAACCCAAAGTCCACCAAATAAATATTAGAACTAATAAATTCAGTAAATTTGCAGGATACAAAATTAACATACAAAAATCAGTAGCATTTCTCTATGCCAACAATGAATAATCTGAAAAAGAAATCAGGAAAGTGTTCCCTTTTACAACAGCTAAAAAGAAAATAAAATACCTAGAAACGAACTTAACTAAAGAAGCTAAAGATCTCTACAATGATAACTATAAAATATTGATGTAAGATTTTGAAGCGGTCACAAAAAATAGTAAGATATTTTATGTTTATGGGTTGGAGGAATCAATATTAGTAAAATATCCATACTACCCAAAGCAATCTGTATTAAAATACCAATAATATTCTTCACAGATATAGGAAAAAAATTCTAAAATTTATATAAAACCACAAAAGACCCAGAATAGCCAAAGCTGTCCTAAGCAAAAATAACAAAACTGGAGGAATCACATTACCTGATTTCAAATTATACTACAATAAGCTGGATGTGTTGGTACATGCCTGTAATCTCAGCTACTCAGAAGGCTGAAACATGAGAATCACTTGAACCCAGGCGGTGGAGGTTGCAGTGAGCTGAGATCATGTCCCTCTGTCCCCCACAAAAAAGAAATAAAAATAAAAATAAATTATACTACAGAGCTATAGTAATCAAAATGGCATGGTATTCGCATAAAAACAGACAGATGGACCAATGGAATAGAATAGAGAACCCAGAAAAAAATCTATAACCCTACAGTGAACTCCTTTTCAATAAAGGTGCCAAGAACATATATGGGGGAAAAGACAATCTCTTCAATAAATGGTGCTGGGAAACCTGGATATCCATATGCAGAAGAATAAAACTAGACCACTTTCTCTTGCCATATACAAAAACCAAATCAAAATGGATTAAAGACTTAAATCTAAGACTTCAAACTATGAAATGGCTACAGAAAATATTGGGGAAAATCTCCAGGACGTTGGTTGGGCAAAATTTTTCTTGATTAATAAACCACAAGCACAGGCAACCAAAGCAAAAATCAACAAAGTGAAGAGACAACCCCAAAGAGTGAGAGAAAATATTTGCAAACTACTCATTTTGAGATATCATCTCATCCCAGTTAAAATGGCTTATTTCCAAAAGACAGGCAATAACAAATGTTGGTGAGGATGTGGAGAAAACGGAACCCTTGTACACTGTTGGAGGGAATGTAAATTAGTGAAACCACTATGGAGAACAGTTTGGAGGTGCCTCAAAAAAACTAAAAATAGAGCTACCATATGATCCAGCAATCCCACTGCTGCATGTATACCCAAAAGAAAGGAAATCAGCATATCAAAGAAATATCTACACTCCCATGTTTGTTGCAGCACTCTTCACAATAGCTAAAATTTGAAAACAATAAAAGTGTCTATCAACAGATCAATGGATAAAGAAAATGTGATACATACACACAATATAGTATTATTCAGTCATAAAAAATAATGAAATCCTGTCATTTGCAACAACATGGATGAAACTGGAGATCATTATGTTAAGGGAAATAAGCTAGGCACAGAAAGACAAACATCACATGTTCTCACCTATTTGTGGGATCTAAAAATCAAAACAATTTAACTCATGAGGTAGAGAGTAGAAGGATGGTTACCAGAGACTGGAAAACATATAGGGGGTGGGGATGATGGCGGGCAGGTGGGGATAATAAATGTATACAAAAAAATAGAAAGAATGAGTAAGATCTACTATTTGATAGCACAACAAGGTGACTGTAGTCAATAATAATTTTACATTTTAAAATAACTAAAACAGTATAACTGTTTTGTTTATATAATAACACAAAAAATAAAATGCATGAGGGGATGAGTACCCTATCCTTCATGATATGATTATTACACATTGTATGCCTGTATCAAAACTTCTCGTGTACCTCATATATACATGTACTCTCTAGGTACAAAAATTAAAAATTAAAAAAATTACATGGAACCACAAAAGACCCAGAATAGCTAAACCTGTCCTAAGCAAAAAGAACAAAACTGGAGGAATCACATTACCTGACTTCAAATTATACTACAGAGCTATAGTAAACAAAATGGCATGGTACTGGCATAAAAGCAGACATATAGATCAGTAGAACGGAGCAGAGAACCCAGAGATAAATCCACACATCTACGGTAAACTCATTTTCGACAAAGTTGCCAAGAACATACATCGGGGAAAGGACAGTCTCTTCATAAATGGTGCTGAGAAAATTGGATATCCATATGCAAAAGAAGGAAACTAGATCCCTATCGCTTGCCATTTACAAAAATCAAAGAAAAATGGATTAAAGGCTGGGAGTACTGGCTCATGCCTGTGAGGCTAAGGTGGGCCAATTGCTTGAACTCAGGAGTTTGAGACCAACCTGGGTAACATGGCAAAAACCCATCTCTATAAAAAATACAAAAATTAGCTGAGCATGGTGGTGCACACCTGTAGTTCCAGCTAATGGGGAGGCTGAGGTTGGAGGATTGCTAGAACTCAGGAAGTTGAGTTCTACAGTGAGTCATGAGCATGCCATTACACTCCACTTTATAACACACTGTTTTCTACATAAGGCTAGCTACATCCCTAATCTTATTTAAGCTCCCACCTCTTTCAGACACTATCATACCCAGCCCGCCTTCCCACCCCGAGCACCCCCATGCATTCTGGAACTCATGGTCTGGTGAGTGTTGTCCAAGAATGGCTACAAACCCACATTACTATGATATTGGACTCCTACTTTCGTAGTCATTTGTTAGTTAACTGTAAATTTTAGAAGGTTTTTGAGTAGAGAAGTGAAACAATCCAACGTTTGGGAAGATTTTCTTGTGCAGGACTGGAGGAGGACGGGAAGGAAAATCATTGCGTGTGTGTGCGTGGGAAGTTATTACAACTATCTATCTCGAGGCATGCGAGGTAGGAGGGCCTGAATTGCCATGAAACGCAGTGACGATAAACGAAGGGACCCGTGAGAAAGGGGCAAAGAGGTGTCTCTTAATAAAATAAGCAACGGCCTGCTGTGGGAGGATTCGGGTCTCAGTACAGGCTGCCACTGTCAGCTTTGCAATATTCCTCGACCCTTTCTTCATGAGTAAGACAGGATGGCTCTACCTTGCAAGGTTACAGCATGGAGCTGGGGGACTGCGCCGGCAGTGCGCTGAGCAGCATCCTTGCGACAGGGTGAGTGTGCCAACCCTTGTTTTCTCTCTTAGAAAGAAAGAGGAGGGGTAGATAATAGCATCTTCACCCCAGTAGTTGCCGTAAGTAGTGATGCTAAGAATCCGGCACGTCGTAGGCATCAATCTCAGTCCGCCATCTCCCCTTGCTACCACGCTAGGAGGTACCCAAAGGAGACTGCCCTGACTGGCAACTCCCGCGCCGGGGTTCCCGGGCCACCATCACGCGTTGCCTCCAGCCGCGCGCTGTTGCCAAGGCCCGGGCACCGCCCAGCTCCACTACGGACCAATGGCAGCGCGGCTTGGGCACCGCCCAGCTTCAGCACGAGCCAATGGAGGCGCGGCGCGGGCACCGCCCTGATCCGGCGCGGGCCAATAGCGGCGTGGCCCGGCGCGGTGGCCGCCCCGGTCGGGCGGGGAGGCGGGGAGGTGGCCACTGGCTCCGCCCCGCTCCCCTCTGACCCGGTGTCTAGTCTCTCCGTCTTCCTGTTCCAAACCACGTGGACGCGTCGGGGCTGCGGGAGGCAGCCCCAGCCGCCGCCGTCGGTGTCGCAGCCACCACCACCGCCGGGGTCACGGGTCCCGCGTCTGTCCGAAGTCGCCGCACTCGGGCTGCTCACGTCTCTGCGGAGGGCGCGCACATGGCGACTCAGGCGAACTCCCTCAGCTACGCGGGGTGCAACTTCTTGCGCCAACGTCTGGTCCTGTCTACCCTGAGCGGGCGCCCCGTCAAAATCCGAAAGATTCGGGCCAGAGACGACAACCCGGGCCTCCGAGGTAACTTGGTGTGAGCGGCGCGCGGCGTGGGCGCGGGGGCTGAGGGGAGACCGAGCTGATGCCCTGGGGGCCCGCGCGGCGTTGGCTGGGGGCTCGGCGTCTTGCGAGCGCGTCGGGGAGGGCAGGTGGCGCGTCGCCTCCAAACCCGAAGGCGCACGAACGGTGGGGGAGGCGGGGTCGGCGCCCGAGGGGAGCGCTCAGCTGCAAGCTGCGCTCTGAGTCTACGGGGCGCTGGTAGTAAACAGCTGCACGTTTTCCAGCTTTACGTGTAGCAACAAATCCCTGGCGTCGCCCCCTGGCTTCCCTTCAGTCCCTCTTGCCCTCGCCATAAACCTCTCAAAGGAGAAAAACAGTTTGTTGGACCAAAATATGGTGAATGAGCCGAGGGAGAGACATTGGGAGAGAAAAGTACCTCGGGTTGGTTCTCTGTCCGTCTCAAAGCAGGTCTCAGAAGCAGCTGCCCCCTTGGACACCGGCTGTTCCTGTCGCCATGATTTCTCGGCTGCCCTCACACTTGTCCTTGGGTGTGGAGAAAGAAATTTTTAAAATTCTGTTTGTTTTCAGCCGTGACTGTGATTGATGTGCGCAGGACAAGAGCTTTGAGATAGATTTTTAACAGTCATGGGCCTAATTGCCTTGACTTTAGAAAAAAGGTTGGTGACAAGCGCTAAACTGCAGGCTCCCAAGCTCACTTCTTGCTCTACAATGGTAGGTTAAAAAAAAATAGGCCCATTTAAACCCACATCTCATTAAATGGCGCCGGTTTTCAACTGGCCTTGGTTTACACCTGGCCCCCTGGAATGAGATACATGCATTTAAAAACTTCTGACTGGTGGTTATCCCAAGTTGGGCGAGTCAGTAGTCAGGTGAAAAAGGAAAAACCTGTCTGTAAATTGAAAGAGAGTGTTTGTGGTTGGTCCTGGAAGCTTCCTGGGTGGTGCTGATGTGTTTTATTTTGCACTGGCTCTTGTTTTGTCTGTCTGAATGCATTTTTTGGATAGTTAGATCTCTGCCTCTATTGGGTGGTGATTGGTTGCACATGAAGGACGAAGATGCCATGCTATTGATGGAGATAGAAGTTAGGAAGGAAAGAACCAGAATATCCCAGGTACAGTGGTAAAAAACCTAGTGATGGTAGGAAAAACTTGTGTTGGTGGTTCCTGTCCTCTCTCTACTGCTCAAAAACACTGAGAAAGTTAAGGAGAGACCACAAATGGTTTATGGCACGACTTTTCCGTCAACAACTGTTCCACTTAGTTTGACCCTTGGGCAAAGTGTTTGCTTGATTGCTCTGTGGCATTCTCAGCCAGCTCTCCATCCACTTTACCCTCAGCTTAGCTCAGAGAACTTGCCACTAACTGGATATGGTAAGAAGATGGGCTTCTACTTTGTATAAATACTAGGCATAACTTTTTTTTTTTTTAAGAGAAATGGAAGTATAGCCTGGAAATCTGGGCTCTCAAATAAATCTAATTCTATTTAGAGTTTTTCTCTTGACAGGTGGCCTCCAATTTAATATTTAATGTTGCAAAGTATGCTTCTCCTCCTCCTCCTCCACTATATGTGAGCATCTCTTCAAAGCATCTCACACATATGAGCTCCCATTTCTTCCAGGAACAGGGCTTGGCCACTTGGTACTTTCTTGAAAGGGTGTCAGACGCTGATACCTGAGGGAGGTAGAACTGGTTGGCAGGTGTGCTGGTGTTTTACGGGAACTGTTACTTTAGAGCATTATGTGCCTTACCTCGTTCATATACCAGGGGAAGAAAGAGACTCCTGATTATTTGTACATCCTTGTGCTGGCTTCAGGGCCTCAGAAACCTTGTAGATGTTTGTCTGCTTAATTTCTTTCTTTCTTTCTTTCTTTTTTTTGAGACAGAGTCTTACTCTGCCTCCTAGGCTGGAGTGCAGTGGTGCGATCTCAGCTCACTGGAACCTCCGCCGCCTGGGTTCAAGCAATTCTCCTGTCTCAGCCTCCTGCGTAGCTGGGATTACAGGTGCCTGCCACCATGCCCAGCTAATTTTTAGTAGAGTATTTTTAGTAGAGATGAGGTTTCACCATGTTGGCCAGGCTGGTATCAAACTGCTGACCTCAGGTGATCCACCTGCCTTGGCCTCCCAAAGTGCTGGGATTACAGGTGTGAGCCACTGCACCTGGCCTGTCTGCTTAATTTCTTACAGAGGGAACTGATAGATATGCATTTGCAGATATACATGTATATGTGTATTTGTATATGTGTACATGTAAGTGTATATACATATACGTACACACATAAATAGATGTAGTCCCTGACACATGATTTCTGGTCATAGTCAAGGGAGTCCTTGGTAGCTTGATTGAAGATGTAGCCGGAAGGCTGTATTGCCTCTCATCTGTCCCTTTCTGCCTTTTCCTGACTCAGATTCTCAGAGTTGGAAAAAACTCAGAGCATATCCAATAAAATCTTCAGCTCTAATACAAGAATCACATCTCTTAAAGGTGCTTGCTTAAGCATCCCTCATGGTGTGGGCTTTGGAGGGTAGGGGTGGTATGGGAGGCTTTCGGCCTCAGGAACATTTATTTAGAAAGTGTTTATTGAGCCCCAGTATGTGCAAGGCTTTGTATGGGAGCGTGTAATATGTGTGAGAAGCTGCTTGCCCCTGCTCTCATGGAGCTTGTCATCTAAGTAGGATGTTACTAAGTTTGAGTAACTTGAAATAGGAAGGATTGAGTATTGTACAGGGGCTCAGTGGAGTTCAGAGCAGACTTCCCTGAAAGTTACAAAGGAAGGCAGGTTTTCTGGGTCTGATCTGGAGAGATAGGATTGAGATGGTGGCTGTGGAAATAATTGTTTGCAAAATAAAGTTTTTTTTTTTTTTTTTTAAAGAAATTTTATTTTAGAATCGGGGGTACATGTGCATGTTTGTTACATGGATATGTTGCCAACTGGTGGGGACTGGGCTTCTAGTGTACCCATTATCCAAATAGTGAACATTGTACCCAATAGGTAATTTTTCTTTTTTTTTTTTTTTTGAGACGGAGTCCCGCTCTGTCGCCCAGGCTGGAGTGCAGTGGCCGGATCTCAGCTCACTGCAAGCTCCGCCTCCGGGGTTCACGCCATTCTCCTGCCTCAGCCTCCCGAGTAGCTGGGACTACAGGCGCCCGCTACCTCGCCTGGCTAGTTTTTTGTATTTTTTAGTGGAGACGGGGTTTCACCATGTTAGCCCATGTTGGGATGGTCTCGATCTCCTGACCTCGTGATCCGCCCGTCTTAGCCTCCCAAAGTGCTGGGATTACAGGTTTGAGCCACCGCGCCCGGCCCCAACAGGTAATTTTTCAACCTCCCTCAATCTTCCTCCTTTTTGAGTCCCCACTGTTTGTTATTTCCATGTTTATGTCCGTGTGTATCCATCGTTCAGCTCCCATTTATAAGTAAGAACATGCAGTATTTGATTTTCTGTTTCTGAATTAGTTCTCTTGGGATAATGGCCTCTAACTCC